CACCATTACAGGAAATAGCCTTAACTTTTGCTTGACTTATGTGTGTGGGTTTCTTAAGTCTAATAGAAAAGATTCTGGGTTTTCCCTTAGTACAATTCTTACACCTACTGACTGCTCCAGCTAAAAATTACAATACACATTAAACCCAGGTAATACAGTTGAGTGCACTTTTAGAGATTGGTATCTTATACTAGCATGTGCCACTACATCACTACTCTGGGTGAGTGTGTAAAGTACACAAGACAATGTAAAGGAATAGAACTGGAAGGAACCTTTCCCTCCCTACTACCAGCAAACTGACAAGAACCTTGTGATGGTATATCTCTTTCGCTGAAGCACTAAGCAGTGTTCATGTGTAGGTGTGTTTCCTCACAATCTGTTCCTTTGATCACAGGCCATCTTGGGCATTAGTGTATGTGGTCTTCCTATCTTTTCTACATTTGTTTTCCTTTAAGAGCTTTTAAAATGCAATCTTTGCTCTCTCATAATTGCCAGTCCAGGCTGTTTAAATAAATAATAAAAAAAAAACCTTAACATTTAAAAGTGGTGATATTAAAAGCATATTGTAATGAAATAGTAGAGTTGGAAAATAGTTGTTGGATTTGACAAGCCACACAGAGCTTTTTCATACCATCCTGGTCGTTCCTGTACTTTGCCCTTTGAGAGTATATGTGATTCAGTCATTGATCTGAGAGCCTAGTTTAGATAGTGGGAGTTCTGTTTAGATTTTCTTAGAACTGTGCAAATCTGTATTTTTTTTTTTGTTTTTCTTAGTCTGGATTCCTCTTGCTGGTTCCATTTTTTCTGTAATATTTATTTCTGTACTTACATTATTCCCTCCCTATAACAGTCTGAGTGCGCAACCCCCCATTTTCCCTTCTGATTCTTCCTGTCCAGGACTGTAAAGGAACCTTGAATGGGAGCGAACTCGATTGGTAATAGAGCAAAGGCTCCAAGTAGGGCCATGCAAAGTTCTATTTCGGGGCCCCTGCTGTTCATCATTGTGTTCTGCTTGAGGGTTCTCTTCTCCCACCCCCCGTTTGTCCAGTTTAAAGAAAACATTTCAAGATCCACTTAAAACTGAGGTTACTCACTGCAGATCCCGCTTGTAAGGGGAGGGGGCTGTCCTCTAGGGCCTGCTTAACGCCTACAGTGAAACAAGTGCCCAAGAGGGGAGCCGGCTAGGGGCGATGGCTCCGCGATCAAGCAGGGTGGGGGTCTCCTCTCCCCCCCGGGGTCTTGGGGGGCCTGAAAGGAAAACGGAGCCTGCCGGCGCTGGGGCTCTCGCACAAACCCCGCCTAGCCGCGGGGCCCCGAGCTGGAGGGGGCTGCGGCTGCTACACCAGGCCGCCCCGCGAGCTCGCCCTCCCCCAGGCCCCGCGCCTCCCCTGGGCAGGCGGCCGCAGCCCATGTACACACTACAGCCCCCGCCTTGGGCAGAGGGAATCAGCAGCCGCCGCCTCACGCACCGCGGGCTCCAGCCCGGCCGGGCCGGGGGGTGTCCCTGCTGCTGGGGGGAGGGGGGGAGGGGCAGGCCCCACCTCGCTGTGTAGCCTAGGCCCAGGCGGGGTCGGGGGGCGCGTTAACCTCCAGGCCCGCAGCCCGCTAGCTGAGCCCCTGGTGCCGCCCGGAAATCCCTGCCTGGCAGCACCCGCCCCTTCCCCCGCGTCTCCAGCGTCTTGGCGACGGGCGCGGCGGGCTGTGCAGCCGGCCGGGAGCTCCAGGCAGGGCGCGGCATGGAGACCCCGCCGCAGGGACCCCGCCAGGTGAGGGGCCTGGGCCGGCTCCCTCGTTGGGCTGCGGGCGGCGGTACGGGAGGGGCAGGTTCCCGCAGTGAGGGGAGGGGGCGTCTGTGGCTGGCTCTCTTATGGGGGGAATGTGTTGGGGGTTGCAGGTGGGGAGTGTGGGGGGAGCATGGGGGTTGCAGGTGGGGAGAGGCTCCCTCATGGGGGTCGTGTGTAGGTGGGGAGGGAGAGAGTGGGGGGGGGGGTTGGGGAAAGGGTGGGAAGGGAAGGTCCCCTCGTGGGGGGAGTGTACGGGATGGGAGGGTGAACTCTCAGAGTTACTTTTGAGTTTTATAGCCTTTTCCTCTCAGGTTGGAGGCAGGGGTTTTGACCTCTCCCTGTCACAGTGCCCCCCCCCCCTTCAGCCCCAGTTCAGTGTGTAACACAGATGGCTATATGGAGGCTTTTAATCCTGCTGAGCTTTCTGAGGCCACAACCTGACCTGCATCTGCTACCTCAATTGTGCAACTGGGACCCCGATCTTGATTAAAAGCTGCAGTTTAAGAACTGTTCATGGTACAGACCAATCTTGAAAAGTGTTTTTTTAAAAAGCCCATTCAGTAAAGTTCTGCACCCCATCCGAGCTGGCCAGCATAGCCATGTTAGCAGACTACAGCTTTAAAAGCAGTGCTTAAAATCAGTTTGCTGGAATAGCAGAGCAGGCAGTGTGTGTTTTACAGTTGCATCCTAGTTGTAGCAATATTGGGAACCCTTGCGTAGACCAAGCTCCTGTGGTCACCAGCTTTTTTAACAGTGTTGTTAACCCTACTCAGACCTACCTAACACTGTATTAAGAATGCTAGTGCTCATGGGAGCATTGTTTACACTGGTGCTGTCGCTATTGGGGTTCACCAGGTTTTTTTTTGCAACCCTTTCCCTCCCAACGTAGACCAAAAAGAGTGACATTTTCCAAGAGGACATATTAACCCCCCTTCATTGATCAAATAACTAGCAAAGTTTTGCACATGAACATAGTCATGGTTTCATGTAACTGGCAGCCAGGAATTTCTGATCCCTGTTCTGTTGTGGGCTTGGGCAAGTCTCTCTTACTGTCTTGATTTCCTTATCCTTATAATAAATATGTTTATATCATAGGTTTTTTTAAATCAATGTAATGTGTTTTGAAGATGTAAAGAGCTATAAAAATAATAATGGTCTAAACCTCAGGACTTGCAGTACCTATACTCCCCAGAACCACTGGTTTAAATCCGGACAGTGCTGACTTAGCCCGTTATGCTTCTGTGGCAAATAAATTCAGTTCAGTGCAATTTAGCCTGGGTCACTTTTGGGTGTGATCTTAAAAACCAAGATCCTGTCTGCTCTGCATTCCTGCTTAGACAATAAAGATACTGTTCTGAGGGAGCAAGAGAATAGACTTGTTCCGGTGTTCTTTCCACCCTCCCTTGGAACAGTACATGCACACTCAAATACTGAGTTTCGGCAGTCCTGCCCATATATAGTTTGTGGAGCACTTTGGGATCCTTTGGCATGGAAGGTGCTCTATAAACAGAAAATATTTAGTGGTAGTTTTATTATAATGTTCATCTGCAAAGGTGCACTGCAATACGCTTTTTCTATGGAGTTGGGAAAAGAGGTTTTTCAGGTCCTGGTCATTTGAAATCTGAAATGGAGTTAAAACTGTTGTACATATCACAGTGCTGGATCTTTTATAAAATCTGAGTAGAAAGGACCTTGCCAGCAACTGTTTTTGTTTTAAATTTTTTGTTCTGTTTTTGAGGAATATCTGAGAGAAACTCTTGGTCTCTTTACAGCTCTTTACAACTATCACATTTAGGTAACAAAACATGTTTACTGCATACAGAATTATTACATAAAGTTATTTGAAGGTTTTCAGATATTAATTTTAAAGTTACCCAGTGTTCTAGAAACCTTATAATGGGTGCTATAGAAATAAGCAAAAATGGGACTGATTTTGGGTTTATCCTCGCTTTACCAACATTTTGTCACTTTTTTGCCATACTCTCTGTATAGAATTCTGTTAACACTTATGGGAAAGGTAAGTAGCAGCTAGCTAGGTGGATGTTGATTGATGGGGTCAGCCACACCTGCATGAAAATATTATTTACAGTCAGTCTCTGCATGGCCAAAACTCAGGACAGAGACTTGAGGCCAATCCTGCAAACCATCACTCGGACAAGACGTCCCACTTGCTTCAATTAAACTAGCATGGATAAGGATTACTCTTGTGAGTAAAGGGTCATGGGATCTTGGATTTCTAATTGTAAGCAGCATTAAGACCTACTGCTGTTCCATTTGGAAAGTTGATGGCAAAACTCCCATAGACTTAAATAAGAGCGATATCAGGGACAGCAAGGTTCATGTCCAGCTAATCCTGTCTATCAGAAGTTTATTTTTAGTGCAGAATTAGCTGAGGTCAGAGTCGACATTGTCGGATTTAGGAAGCTGTTCAGTGTCTCTCTCAAGGACTGACTTTGAATGGTATGGGGAAGAAACAAGTGGTGAGTTCAGTTCTAGGCAGCCTTTAATTACATTATCTGTGTATTTTTTTAATTGAAATAGAATCTTTAGAGCATGGGGATTTTTTCCTTTGTCCAGTTCACTTATTTAATACAAAATCTGAATCTAAGCTGCCTCATTTTTTCTAGGTGAGAAAAATGTATCAGGTGTGTGAGCTATGCTTCAGCTAGTTTGTTAACAAGAGGTTTTATTATTTTGTAGGTTTGACTTTATGGTCAAAATAATTTGAAAAGGTTGTGTTTTATTGCACATTTTATCATGTTGGACTGTTCTATCTCTAAATTTATAATTTCACTAGTAAAGTACCTGCAACTCTTCATACTATAATCTGCAAATATGTTGATATTAAATGCCTAAATTTTGGCAGTGTTTTTGTAGATAATATTTTCAATAACTGACTGGAGTGATGAATTAACTTTCCTGTTTGTGTAGTTTATTATAAGAGAAGTAAAAATATTTAAAGAGAACAGCTACATATGCCTCTGAGGTGTCTATAGCAGTGGTTCTCAAACTTTTGTACTGGTGACCTCTTTCACATAGCAAGCCTCTGAGTGTGACCCACCTTATAAATTAAAAACACTTTTTAATATATTTAACACCATTATAAATGCTGGAGGCAAAGCGGGGTTTGGGATGGAGGCTGACAGCTTGTGACCCCCCATGTAATAACCTCGTGACCCCCTGAGGGGTCCCTAGTTTGAGAACCCCTGGTCTATAGTATCTCTCGAAAATACAGCACATATCAGAATTTAGGCATTGACATCAAATGTGTATTAGATACTACTTTACATTTCTACATAGCACCTTCCATCCAAGGATCTCAATGCAATTGTGTACATTTGCTTATGTATGTGATGTTCAGAATCGCCTTTCAGAAGACTTAATATTTGTTGGATGTGTCGGTCATGCTTGGAATGAGCTGGTTTCTGTGAAATGGCTTAGCAAGGGCTTAGAAGGGAGATGGTTTCATAACATACTGATGGAAGATTTTTTATTTCAGTGCCCACCCCGTGCCCTTCCCCCAGTTCCAAGGTAAGATTAACTGATTATATGGAATATGGTAATTTTTGTGAACTGGAATATTCTTGAAAAATGTGAAATTAAGAAAAATGAGCTCAATAAAAATCTCATAAAGCTCTCACTGACTTCAGTGAGATTTTGCTAAGTGTCTTAAAGAGACAAATATGCTTTCAATTCTGTGATAAACAAAGTTTAAAATAAAATTAAACTTGCATTTGTGAAGCTAGGGTTAAGGCTGTGTCAGCAATTTCATTATAAACCTAGCTTTATTTTAGTTTTGTATTTCACCACAAAAATTTGCAATAGACTAACATTTTTATGTAAGTTTTAGCTTAGCAGCAAACAACTTTTTTTTTTTACTAATTTTTAAAAAGTACCTTAAAAATGTAAGTATTTGGGTATGTGTAACTTCCTCCTTTGACTTTCCAGAGGTCTTGGGGTATCGGATGCTTGTTTTCCAATCATATAGTACAAAAGAAGTTTCATGTTGTAAATAGATTGGGAAACAGTTTAATTCATATCATCTCATTGCTTCTGTCATTTGGAGCGGGAAAAATGCATCAAAGATTTTAAAAACTATTTCAGTCTCAGTAACTTTTCTATTTTCAACCCCTTGTTCTCCTTTCCTGGCCCTTGCCTCATTGTTTATTGCTGTTGAATGCTGTCTCTCGTCTATATTTTAAATTGCAAGCACTTTGGGGCAGAGACTTTTTTAAATCAGCCTGGTGCCTACCATACTTTTGAGTGTGGTATAAATAATAAAATCTATGTATACCATATTGATGCAAAAGATGGAGAGTTATGGTTCTGAGGGTTCAATGATCCATGAGCCAAGATAGATTTTGATGATAGGAAAGGTAGTTGTTATGGTCTGTTAAGTCAAAAATCCTCTTCAGTGCCTTAAGACCTATGTACATAGTAGCTCATAAATACCATTGAGGAGTCTGAATATTTTTTGTTAGCTGCTTGCTTCACTGTCATATAACTTCTCCCATTAGTTTTTGTCAGATAGTAAGACAGGTTCCAATTAAAGAACCAGGTAAAATGAAAGTTTTAATCTCATGAACAGCTAACAAATCAAGAAACTGTACATAGTCACAAGAAGCAAACAGACTATTGTTTTGTCTATTGCTAAGCAGCCTCAACTTTGTCATATTCAAATGTTTATAAAAAGAAATAGGGTTCCGGGGAGGTGGACGGCTCTTATGTGTAAGTTCTGTGACCCCATAAACCAATCGCTTTGTGAGCTCTAACACAGTTCTGTGTTGTAACTGATTCAAAACTAACATTCTTGTTCTTTTTATATTCCTTTCTAACTTTCTTTTTTTAATTTAACTTAAATGGCAAAATCTTGGATCTGAAGTGGAAGCCAAGGTGAGTTTGTTGAGTATTAAGTGCTGTGCATGGATATACTTCTGTTTAACAGTTCCTGTTGACTTCAGTTGATCCTATTTTTAAAGTTTAGTGCCTGCACTTTAATGTTTTGCTTAAAAGCTGATTGCTAACTATTATAATTTATTTATTTAGTGCTTAATGTGTACATGGGTCAAGATTTTAGAAAGTGCCTTATGCTGTTGAGTGGTCAATTTGAGACACTTTAAAGGGGCCTTATTTTCAGAGGAGAGTTATTTAGCTTAGAAAAGCGAAGAGAGTCTTTAAAGTCACTCGTTGTGCAGGCCCCATCTCACGGTTGCCCTTCTCTGGACTTCATTCTCTGCTATATCTGTCTTGAGGTGAAGTGACCAGAATTGGACACTATGCTCTATATGAGAAATTTTTTCTATGTTGCATCATTATTATAATTTCCTTTTTTTTTAAAGCCCACCCTATGTGTGTTTTTTTAACATATGTTGCAGTCTGCGAGGTTTTTTATTTTCTATTACTTCCCCACTCCTTGCTGTACTCTTCCTTCTCTTTCCTCTGCTGATGGGGGTTGTCATGGCTTGTGTAAAAAGGGGGCTAGGAAACTCCAATCTTCTTCACTTCCAAAGGGATTCCCCTTTCTGGTTGAGGTAGAGTTGTTAGAAAGAGAGGATGGATTCCTCCATAGTGTGTAACTACTTCCTTTATTTTACATCCTACAGATGAAATTCCACTTAGTCGTCCAAAAAGAAAGAAGCCCAAAGGAAAAAATGCACTAGGTAAGAAGCTGCCAGGAGTGAAAGATATACTTGGATTGCTGGAGGAACTCTGTACTGTAGCCGATCTCCTGACAAATAGCAATTTGGATTTCATACCTACCATTCCTAACAGGGCAACTTTTAGTCTTTCTGGCTCATTCATCTTCATTGGTTATTGTCACAGTTCAAAGCAATTGCACTTGTATTTCCCCATCATGGTCCAGCAAGGGCACCCACTTTTAGGGTTCTGGCTCCCCAGCCATCACCTCTCTTGGGCTGAGACCTGTGTCTCTCTTCCTCCTGACTGGGGCTTTTCTGGGCTGCAAAGTTCTCTCCCTACACTACGAATTCCCCAGCAAATCAGATTGCCTAAGAAGGCCTGCTTTGCTTTCTCATCAGAGGCTACAAACATATAAACAAGTACATATATTCTTATAGTGAAAGCATTACAGAGAAAACGTATTAAAAACAATAAAAGAACTTACACGCATGCTAATAAACTTACCAGAGATCACCCCAAACTCCAGCAAGGGCTCTGGGACATGAGCAGTTCTTCAAATCCCACCATGGGGTTTTTCTGTAGTTACAAGTTCTTAACAGCTGTTCCCTCAGAACAAGCACCCCATGCATCAGTTAGCCTTTCCTTTATATAGCCTGAGTCTTTGATCTTCAGAAACCGTGAATAGGTAATCAGCGAGCCAGTGGTTCTCCTCTCAGGGCGTAGCTTCAAAAGGTTAGGTCCTGACATGGGGATTTGCATTCCCCTTCCCCCATATATTTCCTAAAAAACCCCCACTTAACTTTGTTGGTCCTGAAAGTTTCTTCTTTTCTGTTACATTGTTGAAGATAGTCCTTGAAGTGCCTAACGTTTACCAGGGTTTGCATTGTCCATGTCTCTCCCCTGGAAAAGTTACATATGATCCCACAATAATACATTAACTTGCATTTATAATACAATGGACTCCAAAGCTATTTAAATGTAATTCAATAAGATCGCCTAAAGATATTGTAGGAAATTGCCATATCTGTCACAGTTTTTATACATTATGATTTTTTTTATTCTGAAGCGGTATTAGTTAGAATTATAGTCTGAATACTAAAGTCATTGGGCTTTTCCCCCTCCATTCTGGTTACTGATAAAGCAGCAGGTGCTGATACAGCATTGAAAAATTGCTTGAATTTTTTTCTTGCTATTTTTTCCCTTTCTGGTTACCTCAGTTGCTTGGGTCCTTGAGACTGGACAGTCATCCACAGCTATGAGATGCTTTTCAAATTGATCATTTTACTAAGTGCTCTAAATTCTGAATGGACTCAACACAAATCCAAGTAAATACTACTATGCCTGTTTCTGTAATAGATTTAAATATTGTCAGGTATTCTTTAACATCTCACAGAGGAGATGGATTGTTCATAAAGTGTGTTCCACATGAATTCCACCTAGTAGCTAAACAGAGAAAGAAATACAAAGTGCAGATATGCCTTGGTTGCCTTCCCAGGAAGGCTCACGCTACCATTGAACTGAGGTTTTTTTTCTTTTATTCTGCTTTTCAGAGGGTATTGTTCACGCAGCTGTCCGTCGGCCATCTGAAAGTAGCGAGCCTCTAACTCCTGAGGTTCAGGATGCTCCACCTCAGAGGAAACGCAAGAAGAAGAGAATGCCTCCTGGTATGTGGAGAGTGACAGAAAGGATGGAAGATGGAATTAGACTTGGCAGCATAAAGTCTTGCTAGCCCACTTCTTAAGTTTCTATTTCTTAAACCATTAGAATAAGTCCATCTGCATTGATGACAGGCCAAAGTCATCTCTGGTGTAAATCCTTGGAGTGAGTGAAAATTCATATCAATGAAGCATTAGGTTGAGAAATCCAACACTCAAGCGTCATGCAATTCTAGATGTTCAGGTTTCTACTGGAGTGATAACTCTGCCGTCTTGCACCTATGTAGTATCTTCTATTCCTGTTTATCTTGTTAAATATGAGCCATATTTTATTACTGCTGCTAGATTTTATAATCTATGCCATAAAATATATGCATATATAATGTGAATTGGGGCCAAATCAGTATTCTAGTAGAAACTTATATTTTGGAATTTCCTGAGTTTTGAATATTTGATGTTCCAGTGTTTCATTACTGCTAGTTTTTGAATTTGAATATTTGCTGATTTTAACAATGGAATAAATTAGAGAAATCTTGTAATATTTTTTAGGATATTGTATTATTCAAGTAGCTATTTTCAGTCCAAAAGCAAATATGCTGAGGTGTCTGCATCTGCTAAAAGATTTCAAGACCAATAGTGGGCTGATTTTATGTGATCATAAAAAAATAATGTAAGAGCTTTGATTATTTCTTAGCGTGAAAAATAGAGAATTGCTTTCCAATGCTGATCCCAGATTTAATATTTTTAATGAGACAAACAGCACACCAGTCCTTGCTGTGAAAGCTGCCTTTGAAACACTTGGAAGTGTTACTTTGAAAACATGTAACACTTTAGTTTACTGGCACCGTACTGCAGCACACAATCACAATTCCTAAATTGTTAAAAGTATATTAAAAGATAAATAGGTTAAAAATTGTCACAAGATTAATGGAAAAATCAAATTTTGGAAGTGGAGAATTATAGATGATCCTGTGTTAACATTTACTATTAACTGAAACTCCGAACATGGTGCTTTTTGTTCCCAGTGATTGCATTATAGTTATACAACTGTCTCAGTGCATACATTTCCTAATCTGTACTAGCTTGCAGATTAGATTATTTTTGTGGTTTGTTTTAAATCTTCAGAATCTGAGACCTCTTTCACCCAGCAGAATGTGCCCATCACATCCTTTTTTCAGACTGGAAATGGCATGGATCCCCAGCCCTCTGAAGAAACAGTGATTCGTAAACATCGAAAAAAAACAAAGTGAGAGCTTCTAAGGTGCCTTATAATTCTTGTCGAAGAATACCTATGATAATGTATTAATATATGTTAGTATTTAAGGCCCTGATCCTGCAAAGACATGACGTCTCTGGAACTACTCAGTGCGCAAAGATAAGCGTGTATGTAAATCTTTACAGGGTCAGGGATTAACTTTGTTTTTTTAATCCATGGTCACAGTGAATGCTAAGAATTTAGTATTAGGAAATATTGAGGTACATTTTGGCAATTTATTAATTTAATCTTTCTTCAAATCTACACTACAATTTGAACATGATAGTATAAATACAATACTTAAATCACATACATTAAAAAATAAATCAGAATATGTAACATAGGCCATATCTGTACTAGAGTCATTTAACGGTATAGGAATACCACCACTACACTGGCAAAAGTGATCCTAGTGTGGATGCAGCAATATTGTGCTTTGTACTGGTATCGTGAAACAACCTCCCACAAATAAAACAAGCTATACAAGTAAAAGTGTGGCTAGGGACTTCAGCTAGCACAACTATGGCAGTCAGGGATCATACCTCTTCACACCCTTGACTGACATAGCTGTGCTGGTTGGAGTCTGTAGTGTAGATATAACCTAATCATCTGATTTCTGCTTTTCTTTAACTTTCACTCTTATTTCTTAACTTTGTTAGAACATTACTTTTGCTCTTTATTTTGTCTCCACTTTCCTTCAGCTTCTGAATGTTGCTCCTTTAAAACACTTTTGTTTCTCTTCCTGCCTAAGTATTTCAATTTCTTTAGCTTTTTTCTTTAACTTATTTCTTCTGCATTCTTTCTGTTACAATAATCTTTTCATGTCTTTCTTTTCCCACCTGAGTGCTTTGTCACAAAACAAAAGTAAAATATTAAAATAGTTATTGGGGGTTTGCTTGATGATGGTGATTTTATGCTTCCGTAAAGAAGAATTTTAGGCTCTAATCCTACAAGCAGTTGCACGCAGAAGAAACTTTTTATAGGTGAGTATTCCATACTATTCATACCAGTAAAATTAGGCATGTACTTAAGTGTTTACAGTATTAGAGCATTAGTCTTTAAAGCTTTAGACGTTGTTCTTTTTCTCTCCACATATCCTGTGATGATAGGAAGACTCGGCCAGCAGAAATGCAATGTTCCAATGAACTGGGAGTGGAGGAAGAGGACATTATTGAAGATGAACAAACAAAAAGTCCAGATCAGCAACCTGTGTTTGCTGCTCCCACTGGTGCTAGCCAGCCTGTGAGCAAGGTGTTTGTTGAAAAAAATCGTAAGTAATTTCTCATTCTTGTAACTTCAGATATTTTAATAATAATGAAAAAGTTAATGCTGCCCTGTTAAAAAAGAGAAGTTGTCCAGATGTGTTTTTCTGCAGAAATAGTTACAACATTAAAACCACCTGAGCATGTGGCCTTATGTATACACCTCTACCCTGATATAACGTGATCCGATATAACACGAATTTGGATATAACGCAGTAAAGCATGCTCCGGGCGGGCGGGGCTGCACACTCCGGTGGATCAAAGCAAGTTCGATATAACGCGGTTTCACCTATAACGTGGTAAGATTTTTTTGGCTCTCGAGGACAGCGTTGTATCGGGGTAAAGGTGTATTTGTAAAGTTATCAAATTTCTGCATATGTGTAATTTGACTTAAAATATATCATTGTGTACTCTGAAGTAGAGCATTCTGTCTGAAAATGTCACGCTCCCCTAAGTTAAATTAATGGAAAGCAAGAATTACTATTGCACTCATCTTGACATGAGTCCCACAAACACTAGTTTTTTAATCACAGAGTTATCTGACCCTGCTCAGAGCAAGTCAAGATGACAGAGATTTATCTAGCTAGTATTTTCAGTGTTGCTACCCTGGTGAGAAATTTTAGGGAAAACGTACTATAGGAAGGCCTGTATGTTCATATACTTTTTTGAATACAAAAGAAGAGGGATGAAAGAGGTTTTTATGGGAGACAAAATGGGATGCTAAAGCATTTTTCTTTTAAGTGAAAACTGTAGTTGTTCTGAAGCTATTATTGAAACTAGTTGTGTTTTGGGGTCTTGGTAAGTATTATGGAACATAAGGACCAAAATGTTTTAAATGCTTCCTCCCTGTGCAGCACCCAGCATAACAAGGCCCTTATCCTGATTGAGATTTCTAAAGTCTGGTCTGCACTAGAAGGTTTTACTGGCAAAACTTTATTCGGCACAGCTCTGCATGCATCCACACTAAAAACTGAGTCCAGCCAACAAAGCCCTGAACTTTTGCTGGCAAAATTAAACCAGTTCACCAAGTGACATAACACCTCTATCAGTATAGTTGTCAGGGCCAGCTCCAGGGTTTTTGCCGCCCCAAGCGGTGGGAATAAAAAAAAGGAAAAGCCGCGATCGTGATCGGCGGCATTTTGGCGGCAGCTCCACCACGCCGCTTTCTTCAGCGGCAGTTCGGCGGCAGGTCCTTCCCTCCGAGAGGGACTGAGGGACCTGCCGCCGAAGAGCCCGACATGCCGCCCCTTCCCCTTGGCTGCCCCAAGCACTTGCTTGCTGGGCTGGTGCCTGGAGCCGGCCCTGATAGTTGTGCAATCAAATTGCCTGTGAGAAGACAGAAATATCTGTACCAGCAAATGCAGCCCTCCAGCAACAAGCCCACAATGCAGCTATCCCTGCAGCAGCGACCTCTCTGGTCAAATTTTTGAATTCTGCTGCACAGGGCTCGCAGTGACTGGAAGCCTGCCTGCCATTTAAATTTGCCAGCATGTTTTGAAAATACCTCTTAACCTGCCTGCCACCTCCGCAAGCACTCTTGTACAAGCATGATTCCAACTAAACCTTGTGCTGCTACTTGTTCCAGGAAAGAGGTCCTGGATTTCCTCAGTCTGTGAAGCAGATGGAGTTGTACAGGCACAGCTGTGGATTCCCACAGGATTCAAGATGTGTATATACTGATATTGCAAAGGAGATGCAGAAGGGGGGGGATACAGCAAGGATGAGGGCCCATGCCAGGCAACGGGGAAGGAGCTGCAGTAAGCTTACAGAAGAAAAAGGAAGGCAACAAAAAGTCTGGCACTTCCCCCAAGAGGTGCCACTAATATGTGGAGCCAGGGTAGATTTGATTTAAATCACTAGTGAGAAAGACTCGATTTAATCATGGATTTCTACATAAAAGTGTATTCTTGTTGGTTGTTGTAACCTTAATACATATTCTTCACAACTCAGAGATAGATGTGTACCTTCTAAAAATGAAACCTACACTATACATTTTTAAAGTGATTTATTTTGAAAACTTTTCAGATTAGTTTTACAGCTATATCAGAAAATGAATGATTGGTTATTTCATTTACCAAAGGTAACTGAAGCAGATATTTATGAAGTCATTGGGAGGTGAACTATCTCCAATTCAACAGGTTAATCATTAATATTTGGAAGATTTTCTTGCCATGATGTATTAGGAGGAGAACATCACCAAACAGACATTTAAATTGTTTTATTTAACTAAAACAACAACGTTATGTATTCTGGATTTTTTTCTTCAACAGCAAGCATAATATTTTAACAAAACAAGCATACGAATTTTTGAATTTAAACATTTAAGTTTTTTAAAATCAGGTTTGTTTTTGTTAAAATCGGTTTAACTAAAACAGTTAAATTAAATATTTTTGTAAAAAAAACCTAAAATTAAATCGATTATGTCAGCCAGGTCAACATGAGAAACTTTAAATATTGGCTTCTGCAGCTAACTCAATCGTCTTCACCTTCATTTTCTGTTTGTTCATAATCTGGAAAAGAAAAACAAGCTTTCCTGCTTTTTCAGGTCCCAAACGATTTCTCAATTTGGAATGAATTAGTCCAAAGGAAGAAAATACTCTTTCTACACCAGTAGTAGAAGCTACTGCTGTTAAAAGTGAGATTATCACTTCAATAGTCTCTGAATCCAAGTGCTTAAGTGACTTCAACCAGTTCACTGGTGTGACTTTCTTTAAAACATCATCAGCAAACATATATTTCTTGAATGGTTCTTATTCCCAAACTGGGTCTCTTTTACGGCCTGTTGCCATTATAGATTTTCCCTTTTAGTGAGAGAACGGTATGGTAGATCTCAAATCAATGAAGGCTACACTCAGAAAGACCTCAAGACTGTTTGTGCAGCATATTCCAGTTTCGCTTTTGTTTCTGCTGCCTGTCCTCCATTCTCACATTTATCTCCATATTTCTTCTCCATGTCCAGATCTGTTCTGCCCCCAACAATCTTCTATTCATTGAACTTTATGAAGCTTTGCACTTTTAGAGAGAGGTAAGGGATTGACTCTGGCTACACAAATTTGCAGAGGGACAATAGGGTTGAGGTCTATTATTTCTCACCTCTATATATTATTTATTTAAAAACATTTTTGCTCTTAACAAGCATGTTATCTCTGGCAACACAAATCCACAGTTTGAGAATTGCAAAACTAAGCATCTCTGATGGTATCTTCTAGACTAAGCACTGAGTCACATTGGGTAGATAGAAAGATTAATCTAAATAATCTATACAGAAGCCCCTGGAACCCCATAAAATTCGGTCCCTAATTCATGAACTATTGGAACTCATTCACAAAATTTTTCTTAAACATTACATGAATATATTGTCTCATACTGTAGAATTAGAATTTATAATCCCTATTCCATGATGAGATACATTATAGATCAAAGATATCTTAATTAAAACTATCTTTAGATAGGATTTTTCCTCAAAAAGCATTTTATCAAAAAAATCCAATTTAAATTAAAAAAATGCAAGTTCCAGAGCAGGGCACCCTGGAACTGCAGACCAAGGAGGAGCTTGCTGAGGAGGGGGATGTGGATGATGCAAGTCTGACATCAGGACCTCTTTGAGACCCAGCTGATCCTAGAGAGAGAACTAATCACTGAGGAAGGGGGCAGGAACTCATGTAGGTGTAATTTACTGTCCCTGTTAATGCATGCCATTTTTTTACTTTCTCCAGGGCCCACTGGGGAGGGGAGGTCACCGTTTTCTCCCCCCCCTCTCAAATTGGCAGCCAACTGTGCATGGGCAGGGAACAAAGGAATTCTGTTTTAAAATAGCCAGTTTATTTCCAGGGTGTGAACTGGCAGTAGTAAGTAATACAAACAGAGAATCAGGATAAAGCAGTCAAAACCATTTCCAAATATATACTTTTGCCAGTACTTTCGCTGGCAATGCTTGACAATAACCAAGTACAATTCAGTATGTTAAAAACAGAAAACATACTTGCACTGACTGTAAGCTACACAGAACCCAGTAAGTGAGCATTCATACTACTGTATGTGATTTTGCAGAAAATCCATTGTAAACTGATTGGATGCAGGATATCAACTCCAAATCATACTACTTGCATCCAGTTCAGGAAAGAGATTAAAAACAGTGTGTGGGTAGCTTTGGGAGGGGAAGGAGGGTTTTGATATGGACAGGTTCACTTGCTCTCCAGGAGTCCCAGGGGCCTTCTGCCCCTTGCAGAGAAGACCATTTATCTTTAGTTTTCTGCTCCCCTGTAACAAGTGAGTAGTTCTGGACGTATCTTTGTGAGAAACATTTCTCTCACCCTGGTAGGATACCTTTCCATGGTACTCTGCCAGGACGTCTTGGGGATTGTCACTGTTTATGTACTCAGCTGTAAGGTAGGAGCAGGGGACAGAATCAGGATATGTATTCCATTTATCACCCCACCACAGTTAGGGAAGAATCCATCTATTATTTCCTACACGGTGCTCGGAGTCACAATCCTGTGCAGCTGGATTATCCCCACTGTCGATTTTCCAACCCTGAACTGATTGTCTACTGACAGATAGCAATCCAGGATTGCAAGCTTCCAGAAAGTGATTGCTATCTGTTTCTCTGCTATTAAAGCAGCTCTCATTCTGGAGTGTCTGTGCTACAGGACTGAGGTGAGCTCAGAACACAACTCCAGGAATGTGACCCTTTGCATCCAAAAGTTCTATAGGTCATCCCAGTTTGCATCACAGTCTGGTCCCACCACTCGGTGCCAAGAACCACCGCTCCCCTGTGTGCAGCTAGTCAATGAATATCTACAGCAGCTGGTTGCTTTCATTCACTGTCTGTATCATCCACTCCTCAGTATCCCCTTTATATGATGAGTCACCAAGATTCCACAAATATAAAAAAATCACTTGCCTTGACCTTAAAATAGACAAGAGAGATTCTTTGGTCTGTGCAGCATCTATGTTTTTGGATGCAAGAAATGAGGGATTTAAAAACAGCATGAAAGAGTGGATTATGGGTTTGATCCCAAACTCCCACAGTTCCCAGAGAGGAGTGATGATATCCCACAATATAATGCAAACATTTCCTGGTTGATAGTGTGCCTGATGGTGATATGGGAGACACTGGGATGCCTGCTTACAGTGCAGCATGTCCTTTGCTGATACAACTTGATCCTGAGGACACACTGCACTGGTACTCATGTAAATGCATTCTACTGAAATAGCTATGTTGGTAGCAGAATGTCAGTAAAACTTTCTAGTGTAGACAAGGGGCAAAGTATTACTGCAATACAAATAATAGGCAGTAGTAATAATCTCCATGATTGAGTAAAGTTGTTTTTCTTTTCAGGGCGTTTCCAGGCAGCTGACCGCACAGAATTGGTTAAAACCACAGAAAACATTGATGTATTTATGGATGTAAAGGCTTTATGGACCACTAGGGATGTGGCACTCTCAGTGCACCGTGGTTTCAGGTATCTGATAGGTCAATATTTTGATGAAAGAAAAGGGACTTTCATGTGAAATCCATTTCTTTTTCTCTCTGGCTAGGGAATGCTTTTGAAGTGAACACCTTCTGTCTACCTTGTAAATGTCTCTTTTAATCTCTTTGGACACACTCAACAAACAATGGATGAGTGCAGAACTGAATAACTGCAAGCTTTTCTATTGATGGACTAGGCCTAAAGCTTATCAGCACTCTAGCAAATTATAGTATAGTTTGTTTTGTTTTGACTGAGAGTGCCTGCTTTTGAGGGGCAGGGGGGAAAGCTGCAGTATAGCAGCCAGAATTTAAACTGTAGGAGAGACCATAAAAGTGTCATGTATAATTTTAGAAAAGAACAGATTTTTAATTTGAATTAAATTCAGAAGCTGCTTTTAGTGTACCATTTGTAGAAAAAAGGCAAATGGACTAGCCTGAAAAGAGGTTGTAACACCCTAAGGGAAATGTAATGATAAATAGCAGTGTAATGAGCTAGTATGAGGTGATTAGTGATTGTGTTAGGTCCAGTCTTATTTAACGTCATCAGAAATGATCTTGAAGAAGTAATAAACTCTTTGAAATTCACAGATGAAACCAAAGTGGAAAGAGGTGCAAATGTTAGTGAGGACAGAAGTAATACAAAGGGACCTACAGAGGAAAGAGATTAAAAATGAGATATACGTAACTACTGTAATGCATCTGGGAAGAAAATATTTGAAAAATACATAGCTCATGAGGGAAAAACTTGGAAATTAGTAATGCTGAAAAAGAGTTAGGAGCAAAATTTAAATCAAATTAGACACGAGTTTGCAATGTGATATAGTAGCAAACAGGCCAGTGTGATTTTTGGCTGTGCAGAGACATTATGATATGGAGCAGGAAAATAATAGCTCTTCTCTATCTGGCTCTGGTGTATTTGTACTGTGTGAACATTGTGTTCACTTCTGGGCAATATGTTAGCAAGGAGTTCAGAGAAAAACAGCAAAAATTATCATTGGGCTGGAGGGACTGACTTATCAGGGGGAAAAAAGATGCATATAGTTTGGATAAAACACTACTAAAATGGAATTGGGGGGCTACAGCAGGGAGGAGTGCACATAGCCTCTATCTTTGAAGAGTATGAACATCAAGTTTGGAGAGGAATTATTTAGAGCATTGCAATGGAATATAACTCCTATAACTATAGGAGTAATGGGATAGAGAAAAGGCTGAACATCAGGAAAAATTTCCTTAATAAGACCTCTTAGGCTGTGAAGCAGTCTCTCAAGGGAAGAGGTGGAAGCCCTATTGCTTGAGACTTTTTAAACTAGACTGGACACATTGCTAGAAAATGATATGTAAGGAACAATCCTTCTGTCCTGGCAGCGATGGAATGGATCTTTAGCTTCTATGACAGTCTGGACCATGAACTTTTGCTGAGATTACAGCTATTTACAAAAACTCTAACAATCTCTTATCCATTTAGGGTGATTGGACTCTTTTCTCATGGCTTCCTTGCTGGCTATGCTGTGTGGAACATTATTGTAATATACATTCTAGCAGGAAACCAGCTATCCACTCTCTCAAACCTGCTACAGCAGTACAAGGCCTTAGCATATCCTGCTCAGAGTTTCCTTTACTTGTTGTTGGCTATCAGCACAGTTTCAGCCTTTGACAGGTAAAATGTTCATTTGTATAACTTACATAATTTGTATGCCATACATCCCCTTCTAAAGTCATCTAGTCATAAAATTTCTTTCTGCGACACTTTTCTCACCTGTGATAGGATGTACTACAGATTGCTTCATTTGCTGCAGTTAGTTCTACCTTGCTCTACCTCGACAAAAGAAGATTTATCCTCTATGTATATATGCCATACATTTTTACATTAAGGGAATGTAATGGATGCATACACATACATTTTGCAAAAATAACAGAATGGTAAAGTACCAAAGGAGACCGTTGTTAACCTTGTACAGTGTTAAATGAGCTTTTCTTCCCTGAAGTATCAGAGGGGTAGCCGTGTTAGTCTGGATCTGTAAAAAGCGACAAAGGGTCCTGTGGCACCTTATAGACTAACAGACGTATTGAAGCATAAGTTTTCGTGGGTAAATACCCACTTTGTCAGACGCATTTCTTCCCTGAGTGGATCTGTATGTTCCCACTTGTGGTACCTTGTGGTAGATCCTTCCTCTTGCTGTGTAAGCCAGAGCTCTTTTGTGCCTCCCACCTCTCCTGTCAGGGTCACTGGTGTTCTGAGGGCAAGTCTATATAGGAGAGGAGCATCTTCACCACCTCAATTGCTTCCAACCATATGCCTGGTCAGATGTGAACTACTCCGGTCTCTTTGGAGTTTCTTGTTTCTTAGGAATAGTTAGTATTAGCTAATTATGTAGAGTTTGTGTTTTTCCTGATTCTGGGTTATGAAGGAAATGAAGAAACAGAGGAAGCCAGGTCTCAAGAAGTGCATTTGCTGCGTGGCTGTCTTCCCACTAACCGATGACCATGTGCAGTGCCTTAAGTGCCTGGAAGAAGGACTGTCTCTTACAGAGTGTTTGATTTGCCAAACCTTTATTCCCAGAGACCGTAAAGCTAGGGAGACTTGCAAGAGCTCCTCTTTCTAAAGGAAGCTCTCAAGGCTAAAACCTCTGGACCCACTCAGGCTTTGGATCCTAGCTCTAAGAGGCCAGTCTCTGCCCCAGTGACCTGAATGGCTTCAAGAAGCTGCAACCTCTGTCAGGGCCTGATTTGGTTCCTGCAGATTCCCTCCGTTAAGCCCCTGAGGCTACAGATGTCCAAAGCAAGTGCCATGTGGTTGGATTTGACTGCCCCTGTTCTGGAAGAGAGGTTGAGAGAGAGTTTGGCCACTGGTTGTGTATCTCGTTCGTCCCAGCTACCTGGCCCTGATGGAACTCCTATGGAACAGAGTCGGTTCTGACTTCCACTTCTGGATCCAGGAAGATGGAACTGATTGATGTATCAGAATCTGGGCCATCAGCACCTTTAGTTCAGTCTGTCACAGCGCTGAAGAAAAAGAGGCATAGAGACTAAATGGTCACTGTTAGCAGTGCCGGTTCCTGGGCATCATAACTAGAACTATCAGATCCATCCGATTCTGACAGGGCCTCTACAGTTCCAAAGTGGAGATCTGTTCCAGACCTGCCTTCAGTAACAAGAAAGATGGATTTATTTATAATGTTGGATCTGAGGTTGTCCACATTGTCAGATACGTTGTCAGTTCCTGGCTCCGTTCCGGCTATATCCTCAGTTCTGGAGAGCTTTGTCACCATGGCAGCCCAAGTTCATCTTCCAGCTCCAGTTCACGTCTTAGTTCTGAGTGTGAAACACAAGTCATCCAAAAAGAGGCATGTTATCCTGGTTCCAAGATCTTCTCCCTTGTCTCCTGTTAGGAAGAAGTGGTCAGAAAGTGCTGCTGGTCTTTTCCTGGAACACCTTATGCTTCTTCCTCCTGGGACCCCATACAGGGTCTTCACAAAGAGCTGGATCTCCATACTTCTCTCTGGATCTGCTGTTATCCCTGGTGCATTCTGTCTCAGATCCAGTCCTGCATCCTTTCCAGGAGGAAGATAGAGGAAAAGTGCAGAGACTTGTGGCTCTCCTTGTACCACCCTCTGGATCACCTCCTGCAGGCAGAAAAACAAAAGGACATGAGATCGACTGCCTACTCTTTGGGTATGATTTCCTGTGCTAGGAGTAGACCCTCTACTCCTTCTTTCCGGTACCAGAGACAGCTCTACCATGGTTTTACTTTTTGTCAGGTCAGAGACATGAAAAATATCAACAACCTGCAGCATTCCAGAGTCAGCATAATAAGAGGCCTTTTTCAGCCCGAGGTCTAAATCTGAACAATCCACTTCCTCATCAGCGCCTTCATCATGAAACAACAAGCCTTAATTTTGACAAGATGATTAAAATCAAGAACCAGCCAGTCAGGACCAGTCAGCCCCCTTCTTTGGAAAGAGACTAGCCCTCTTTATTAACACATGAAGACAAATTATGTCGAACCAATGGGTTCTAGAGATGATAGAAAGGGGCTGTGTCATACAATTCAAAAGATTGATGATCATCCTTCCCCATTATTCCCTTACCCTTTACTCTTCAGGGACCCCTCTCACAAGGGTATTCTTCTTAGAAAAATTACTTTGGATGGGAGCAGTTGTGGAGGTCCCCAAATACTGGAGCGGGGACAGAGTCATGGCTTTTATTTCCATTACTTTCTGGTGTGGAAGAAGGATGGGAGGGATTTCATCCGATACGAGACTGGAGCAACTTGAACAACCACATTTGGAAGTTCTGGTTCCCTATGTTGACATCTCTTCGCTTTCAGTCACGAATTGGTTCACAACTCTTGATTTAAATGACTCATTTTTTCCCTATATTGATTTGTCACTCATTGTAAGTACCCCTGTTTCATGGTGGCCAGATGCCATTTTTAGTACAAGGTGTTTTCATTTGGCTTCTCCACAGTGCCCAGAATTTTTACAAAATGCCTCCCTGTGGTAGACGCTCATTTGAGGAATGAGGGTATTTTTGTTTACCCTCATGTGGACGATTGGCTACTGAAGCTGCTATATGCAAGGACCTGTTAAGCCATATTGTTTTTACAACTAATCTCTTTTCAGCTGTTGGACTTCTTCTCAACCACCCGAAGTCAATTCTCTGACCTACTCAAAGGATTCCCTTTACAAGCTGTATACCAGACTCAGTGGAAGGGAGAGCTTTTCTACCAGATGAAAGATTTCAATGGTGTGTCACTCAAAGAATAAAATTCTTTTTGGGTCTCATGGGCTTTATGGCAGCCACTACTTATGTTACTCGTTTTGTTATCAGAGAATGAGACCTATGCAGCATTGAATGTCTTGGGTCTACAGAGCAAGTTGGGACAGCCTCCATATGTTGATCATCATACCTCAGAACATCATAGCCTCCCTGAAATGGTGGTCAGTGAGAACAATTTGTTCAGAAGTATATAGTTCAGTCTCCTAGATCCATCTCTGATAGTCAAGTTGGATGCTTCAAACAAGGGTTGGGGGGGTTCATCTTAATCAGCTGACAGTTCAAGGGCATTCGTCTTATTAGGAGACACCCTGCACATCAGTGTGTTGGAATTGAGAACTATTTGTTTGGCCCTCAAGACTTCCTCCTTCACCTATAAGGAAGGGTGGTGCAGGTAGTGACGGACAGTACGTCGGCAATGTAGAACATCAACAAGCATGGGTGTTCATTCTGCTCTTGTGTGCAGAGACTGTAAATCTATAGTATTGGTGTCTCCTTCCTGATGTCTATCCTGTGGCCTTGCATCTGGCAAGGTAAAACAATGTAGTTGCAGATCGACTTAGCAGAGATAGTGCATGAATGGTCCTTGAAGTATCAGTTGGTTCAGACCATATTCTTCAGCTGGGATCACCCATATGTGGATCTGTTTGCAATGAGGTCCAACAAAAAGTGTTGCCTCTTCTATTCCAGAACGGGCAGAAACAGTCTATCCCTGTCGGATGCTTTCCTTCTCCACTGGGGAAAGACTCTAATGTATGCCTTTTCCCACTCTCCACTGATGCAGAAGGTAGGAAGAAAACTATATCAGAACAGGGCAAAGATGATTCTCTTTGCCCTGGGTTGGCCATGTCAACTATGATTTACCAATCTCCTGCAACTGTACAGCAGAGTCTTTGTGTCTTCCTCTGTCTCCAGACCTGCTGTCTCAGCAGGAGGGAAAGATCTTTTGCCCAGACCTACAGTCTCTTCACCTGATGGCGTGGGTGATTGGACATTGACTCTGTCTGCTCCTGAACAGTCATTTTCTTTGCCTGTGCAGGACATACTAGTTAACTCTAGAAAACAGTCCACTAGAAGCTGTTAGTTTAAATTGGACCAGATTTCAAGCATCGATGAAGGGAAAACCTGATTCCCCTGTATCTGCTTCCATTCCTTGTGTTCTGGAATAATTAATATACTTGAAGCCTGAAGTGTTATCTGACTCATCCTTAAAAGTTTATTTGGCAGCCATCTCAGCATATCATACTTTTAATTGATGAAAGATTGCTGTTTGTTCCGCGTTTAGTCTAAAGGTTTATCAGATGACACACACACACACACACACACACACACACACACACACACACACACA